TAGATACTTTATTTATCCCGAGGGTAATTCAAGTTATATCTCATGTATAAAAAAACCAAAGTGTAAAACAATAAGTTGTGGTTTTATGTGGGTTATGTGCCTGATTTGTTTGACCAGGAGTAGTGCCATAGTTAAGCTAACGCACTGCTTGGTTCATATTTACTGTACAGTACAGACATGAGGGTGGTATCAATTTTCTCACGTAACTCTCAGCAAGAGAGATAATCCTCAAAGTGCTGAACTATTCCTTTAAGAGGTGTTAGCTCAAACGTCTTTCCACCTGAGCAAAGTTTTCTGTGTGTATGTTGGCGAGCTGAAGAAGGAATCCCACCTTAAGGAATAACATTGATTTTGGAATTATTTCGCTTTTGTGAGAGAAACATGTGTTTGTCAGGACGGAAATCAGCCCAATGAATGACAAAATTTGCAGACTTTCCAAAGGCTGGTGAAGATTTATTTAGGGGAGGAACAGGAAGGATGAACAGCTGTGCATGTTTACTGTGTCTGTAACTCATATTCATCTGTCTCTCCCTGGTTAGGAGTGTTCATGTTGCCAAATTGCCGTGGGCCATACAGTTGTACTCTGAAGATGAAGAGCATTGCATGGCAAGGGACTGGAAACACCCAACATTTGTCACATGGCACAATCTCAAGCGGGGATGAAGAAGGGTCATCTGTAGCATATCAGTCATACAATTCTCTGAACTTCTGAAGGAAAATTTGTTAATTTGTTTGTATCTTTTTTTTTTATTAGTTTTTAAGAAAAAATATAACAGACATATAAGACAAAGACATTGTTTAAATAAAGAACATTACCAAGAATAAATGATGGCAAAAGAAAATAGATCCAAATAGGAACAATGCACAATATCATATATTCATTACAGAGTCTTTTTCTCCTGGGTTGGGTCTGTGAGTGACATGCAGGTTCTCACTCTTTTAAAGTCTAAAACTGAATATGGGTTATTGATCACTGAGAGTTAGTTTTAATTCAGCACAGAGATTTCCCAGCACTAAGCTGACCACAGCCCATGTGAGAAACCATGTGATTTGTTTGGCTTTTGAGGGCTAAGGTAGAACTTTGTACATACACATGGACGTTAATAGCAGGAACCTTACTTTCAAACCTCTGCGTATCATGTTTCTTTCATCAAACGAGGCCTCTGTGTTAGGGCAGGTGTGGCTGAAAACGTGTGGTTGAAAAGGAAGACAGCAGAGGAGGAGGCCCACCTTCATATGAGCTGCCCTTAAAACAATAATCCTGCTTCATCCTCGACTCAACCATTTTTTCCAAGTGATCATATCCTCATCATTCCCATGTCAGCACCATGTGGATAGAAATAATAGTCAGAGGCAGCCAGCCCACCTGAACTGCAGATGAAGCTCTCAGAGAGGAAAAAAAAAAACAATCAAAATGTACCTTTAAAAACTATGGATACACTTTTTCTCAGGTTATGATGGGCAAAGACAAAGAGGGGTGTATTCCCTCTCTCTGACAGCTGCTATTATCTTACTATTTGCTTTATACACTCCACTTTAATTTTCTGTCCTGGCACCTACATTGGTCTGGAAAAACAGAGGGAATTCCTCCCCCCTTCTTTTTTTCCCCCCAGAGGTGGAGGTCTTATTAATGTTACCATGCCTTCTGGCCCAGCTGAATATATTTACTTAGTGTTAGGAGAGTGGTGGCCACAAAAGCAGGAATGTGCCTAAGTGTGACTTGAAAGCGGCTGTTACATTTTAATTTTTAACCCATAAAATAAATACAGAGCGGCCCTGCGATTTTTATGAATGGCTACATTCATTCCAAAACACGCCCACCAATCAGCAAACTAACCCCGTGGTGAAGCCACGCCCATTTGGAAATGTCGGGGCTGTTGCCAGCACGCTGATTGGTTAGAAGTGTAGAAGGGGGCGTGGTCTCTCTGAGGCTCATCAGCGGGTATATATTAGAGTTTAGACAGTAGACGGTAGAAAAACAAGGAGTGTGGTCCGAAAAGAGACCGACACTCGGTGAGAAACTGTTTTAGACTGCTCAGCGGATTGTAGCTTTAAGATACTCTTTTTTTTTTTTTTTGTATCTGTATTTGTATTTTTCTTCAACTTGTCACATGCTAGTCATGGCATTTCTGATCTACCTGACTTTACTGACAACAGCCGTCATCACACAGGTAAGATGTTGGTCTCCTGACAGAAGCTCGTGTAGCTGTGTGATGCCGAAAGTCTGTTTACAGAAATTCTCTTTAAAGATTGAGACTAGATTTTATAATCTCCGTCATGGATAATGTAATGTGAGTTCCGTCTTTATAATGTAAATGTGATTAAACTTTGACCTCCAGGGTGTGAACAGCATAAACATCCCCTGGTGTAAACAAAATGTATTTTTAGAAAAGCTTTCAGACATGTTTGATCTTCAAAGACTTATTCTTCATAAAGCCAACATCAGACATCACAACTTAATGCCCGCCAGCCTAACACAAAGTTTGGTAAATGGAGTTTAGATGGGGTTAATACTGCTTATATAGTAATTAATATGGTTCTTCTTCAGTCGGTTGTCCTCTCTTGAAATAAGCATGTCTACTCTTGTCCTTTTTAAAGCCCAGTGACATGTTGATTCCTACAAAGTGAAACAAGTTGGCTCTAGTGCTGAGCGATGACTCAAATCATAAGCCAGCAGGGGACTGAGTACAAACTCTAAGCTGTCTAGACACTCAGGGTTGACTGTCCAGCAGTGACTTGACTTACAGTAGAGGCGTACCGCAGTGCTTTGTCTGTAGAAGAATTCAAAATCAGTCACTAACCCTGGGGAGCATAAGAGATCATCAAAAATGAATGTACCAGAGCTTTTCCTCTCACTTTGATGTTGGAAGAAAAGCTGGAACCAGTGCACTGAACACCCCCTGATGTTAACTTTAACACCCTGGTTGCCATACAGCTATTTTGTGTCTGAATTTTCCAATCCCATATGTAGCATTGTGGCTCTTTTTTAAGATTTTCTGAAGCTGCACAGTAGATATCTGATGTTGGTAGAACAAGGTTGTTTTCCTTTTCTTGGCTGTAGAAAATGTTGCATGACTCAGATCCTTTTTGACTTGTCTGATGATGTGATCTTTCCCTCCAGGTGACTGCTAGCTGCCCGGCAGTGTGTGAGTGCCCAGAGGAGCCCTTGGTTTGCCCTCCAGGAGTTAGCACTGTGCCAGACGGATGTGGGTGCTGCAAGGTGTGCGCCGCGCAGCTTAACCAGGACTGCAGCCCCATGAGGCCTTGCGACCACCACAAAGGGCTGGAGTGTAATTACGGCAATGATGTGGCCATGGCCTGGGGCATCTGTCGAGGTGAGAGAGGAGGCAGCAATGTATGCTTGCTGGGGGTGGGGGGGATGTCTGAAATGGCTGTTAAATGACCTTCCTTTCCATAAAGCCAAAGCCATCACAAGTGATGAGGCAACATGTAACCTTGCACATCCGGGAACAAGACAGGGGGTATTTTAATGAGTAGTACAGGTTTTATGGCAGGGACAGGGGGTTTCACAGATAAAAATACTTTCTGCACCATGCCAATACTGCCCCACCAACTATGAATAGCTGGTTCTTCCATGCTTTGGAGACAAGGAATCTGACACTTCCTGTCTCCTTATTTCCACTGACCTTTCTATCTTGGTGGTCCTCTGTGAGATTTTGTGAACTGTTGCAGTGTGAAGTCCAAAGCTCCATCATTGGTCCCTTAAAGCATGTCTTGTAGAAATACATAACCAATGGATTGTGCCAGGAATACCTTTGTTGCCCCATGGTTTATGCATAACAACAGCCATTTGTGTATATGACCAATACACTGCGGTACATGTTGTATGCTGTGTTACAGAGTAAAATGTGTCTTTGCAGCTAAATTAGAGGGACGCACATGCGAGTACAATGGCAGGATCTACCAGAATGGCGAGAGCTTCCGTGCCGGCTGTAAACACCAGTGTACCTGCATCGATGGCGCTGTTGGCTGCGCTCCTCTCTGTAGCAACAAGCTGCCACCGGCCTCTCCTTCCTGCCGCTACCCACGGCTGGTCCGGATACCCGGGCAGTGCTGCTTCAGCGTGGACTGCCATAAGAGCACCTGGCGGCTTCCACCTAAGCATCAGGTTTGTTTTTACATGTAATAACAAAAAGACTCTCTTAGTAAGTCACTGGCACAAATTGTAAATATATTTTAGGAAATTTGTTTAGAAATAGCAAATGGTGGAGGTGCAGTTCCTCCCATGCCATTGTGATATTCTCTAAAACAAAGGTGATTTGGATGGAAGAGTAAATTCTACAAATCAAAATAATTACATTTATTTTTCTAAATCAAACAAATAGGAGACACTTTCATTAATTTTTAAATTAATTTTGTTTATTTATTTGAGAAAGATTGGCCATTATAATTTCTTGATGCCCAAAATGATGAAATCAGAGCGCTTGTTTTACGGCCAACATTTCACAATATCATGTTTATTATCACAAACTAGGAAGAATCGTGTCAAATAATCACAACTGAGAGGCTGAAAGAAGAGAATATTTGGAAATTTTGCTTTTAAAAATGATTAATCAATAATCAAAATATTTGCTATATGATAATAATAATAATTTTCCTTTTGATCAACTGATCAATTAATCGACAATTTGTTTCAGCTATGCACCACTGTATATTTGGGTCTTATGCTAAGTAGATATGCTTCTCAGTTGCATGCAGAGGGTGGACATGTCAAAGGCTTTCTTCAACTTATTTTCTTTTGCATAATTCAGTCTTATTTTTGAAAAGCAAGTCATTGAGAGTAAAGGAAGTTGTGTGACACCTTTCAGCAAATCTTCGAAAAAAAAATATTATAAATCTTACACTTTCTGTTGTAAGACTGCACCTGCTTACACCGACAAGACACTGTTCATCGAGTGCTTTAAATCATGACAAAGATTCATGCAGCTACAGAGAGGGTAAAGTGTCTCTCCTCTCACCAATTGCCCTAAAGTAACCCTTAATCAGGACGCCAATGTGTGAGTACCACTTATTGGAAAAACACAAACAAAAGATAGACATGACTGCAGCACGAATCCCCAGCAACCGGCACTGTCTCATTTTATCTTATCTCTTATCGCAGGTGCCTCCACCACAACAACACCTGCCTAAACCTGAGCACCATCCTGCCCCGCACCGGCCTGAGAATGAGCTGGCCAACGAGCTTGCAGAAGTCAGGTCCAGCGGCTGGGAGAGTGAACATGGCTACAAACACCTGCCTGGTGAGAGTCATTAGGATTCAGTGGTTGTTGTTTTTTCTGCTTTTCTATCCTGTTAGTCCTGTTGCGACCCTTCAGATTTATATTGTGACCCATGGACCACTTGTTTGATGTTTGATTTTTCTTTTTCTCCTTCTTCCGCCCTATGTCTCCAACGCTCCTCAGCATGGAACCATCTGAAGGAGAAGAAGTGTGCAGTCCAGACCACAGAATGGTCGCAGTGCTCCCGCAGCTGTGGGATGGGCGTTTCTTCTCGCATCACCAACAAGAACCCACAGTGCAAGCTGGAAAGAGAGACGAGAATCTGTACCATACGTCCATGCCATGGCCTAACTGCCCCAACCAAGGTAGAGTACACTGAACATGACTTGAACTAAAGGAGATAGAGCATAGGTCGAATAGCCACATAACTGCCGAGATAAATTCTTATCACAAGGCGTTTCGGTTTCACTGTCTCTTTCACTGAGAGATAAATTACTGTGATAACACTTATCAATAAGGAATTATTCCAGCTCTTATCTATCTATGTCTGAACAATACCTGCTAATTTCTTCTCTGCTTCCTTGTTTCCCTCTACTACTAAAGAGCAGACGCTGAAAACGTCAAATCTTTGCTGCAAAGAATGAAAAATTAGATGTTCTGACCCTGAGTAAATATGCTCTTAGTGCTAAAGCCATCTTTATCCCGAGTTTAAGAACAGAGATTATCTTAGCGGTACTTTCGGGAAGCACTACATCCAGTGGGAACTGGGCAGTGCTGATTTACTCAGCGGTGTTTTGGTGGCAGGCAGGCGCCTTTTTAAATATAGTCCCCCACCCCCGGCATTCCTGCCAAGCAACTGTCCATAGCTAGGCCCTGTCTGTGTACTCAGAGTCCAGGGAAGTGGTGTGTCTATATTAATCCTCCATGTTGGACACACACTAAGGGCTCTTTTCTCTGCTCTGCTGGGTTAAAACCTCTGGTGCCAAGAACAATCATAGGTGTCAGTGTGTTTAACAGGAAGGGAGACTCAAATGTTAAATAGGTGGTTCATCTTAAAAATAATCACTTAAATCTAAAAAATAATCCCTCTCTCAATCTCTATTTTGGCATAACACGTTTAAGTGTGGCTCTATTAATGTGAAGCTAGAGAGTTTGAGTGTAAAACTGCTTAAATCTGCTGTTATGTAAAAGACAGGGCAAATAAAGGTCAATGCTTATTCAATTTTTTTTTACTTGTTTTGGTGAATTTTGCTACTGAAGCCAATTAGGAATAACAGAGTATGTAACTCATCTCTTTACTTTTACCATCCAACCACAGAAAGGGAAGAAGTGCACCCCAGCCCAGAAAGCCCCAGAGCCCATCCACCTGGCCTACGGAGAATGTGTGAGTGTCCGCCTCTACCGGCCCAATTACTGCGGCGTGTGTACGGACAGACGGTGCTGCTCGCCACGCCGCACACGCACTGTACCTGTCACCTTTGTCTGCCCAGACGGCGAGCGGTTCCAGAGGTCAGCCATGTTCATCCAGTCATGTAAATGCAGCGACGACTGCGGCCACCTCAATGAAGTGGCCCTCCCTCCGCAGCACTGGATGTACGGAGATACACACAAGTTCATAGACTGAGGAGGAATTTTTATTGTTTTACTGTGATGAAGTAAAATTTCTTATTGAAGACACCTCAAGACTAGGGGCCCTTTCTTATTTGGCTCCAACTGAGTGCGTGAAGACCACAGGCACCCGCCTGACTGCCAAAATGCAGGCAGGAAGGGCCGCCTCGGATTTATTCACAACCATAAAGGCTTATTGTAATATTATTGTGACCAGAGTGGATTGTACACTTGCCTGCTCCTGTTCAAACAGACGTGGGACCTAAATTAGAGCCCTGAAGCACCCCTGGACTTCCTCCACTCTGACTGATTGCTGGTTCAAGTATGGAGGATTTTTCTTTTTCAGAGTAGCCTGAGAACAAGCAACAAAGCACTTTGTTTAGCACTGAAACTTTGTAACTATAACTGACAGCAGTACACAAGGATCACCTCACCTTTAACAACAGTCGCACATACAGTGATGGTGGATGCCTCCATATCCCACAATGCACTGTGACTAATCAGTGACAAGCAAGAGTTAACTTTTGCAGCTTTAAGTAGAAAACTTAAGAGTATGAAGCAAAATGTGGACAAGACTTTTTTTTTTATTCAAAATATATTAAATCAACAAAGCATGTTGTGAACAGCACAGCACAGGGCATCAAAAAGTACATTTACACACACACTGAGGAAGGATACTGTTCCCTTGTAAGACTGTAAAATGATAAGGAACGCTATCTGGAACCGACAAGCGTTCAGCGTGGACTGGACCAATGCCAATGGATGTCTTTGTGCATTAAATGCAGTTTTAGAGAAATGTCTTACACAAACCTGTATTTGAGAATGTATTTTGGATCACACTGTATTCTGTAAATTTCTTTATTTGGATCCAAGTTTTTATTGTCACATTTATATACTTCTGTGGATTGAGACACTACAGTGTAGCTGTCACAAGATTTTGTTGGTCCATCCATGTGATAAAACTGTCTGCTGAGCTCAAGTTTCATGCAAGGTTTTATTTTAAGTCAACTTGAACAGATTTAAACTTGGCAGCCAGTTCTGTTTGTAAAAACAGTGGCTATGTCTTCAAACTACGATGATAGCACCCTCTGCTGGTGAGGAGAATTAACTGCAGTCAAAACAGTTTGTATTTTTACTGTTGTAGTGCAACTGTGTTTAATGCAACATCTGACACTTAAATGTTTTAAAACATGCTAAATTAAACCAAAAGCCATTAAATAAGGTATAAAAACTTTATTTCTTCAACCAAAACAATATATCCATGGTTATAACGAGGGAAACACTAAAACAAGCACTCTGAAAAGATGTGATAAAATAAAAAAGGTTTTTTATCATTATGAACTTGCCAACATTTATGGTGGGAAATAAAATAAGTTTTTTTTCCCTTCACCAAAATACAGCAACACCAAGGGTCACACACAAGTTTCACTGGTAAGACTCTTCAGACTCATCTGGACTGTTCAACTGCAAAGAGAAAAAGGAAGGTTTTAAGATGCGAGACTATAGAATGCACAGGCAGTCAAATGGGATATCACAGATCAGGGTATTTATATAGTAATCATTTGTCTGTATGGCTTTTAAGCCTGTTGTGGTGTGGTTAGTCAATGTGTAAGGTGACATACACACTAATATCCTTATGTGTGATTATAATGTTGACCAGGGTTTTAAAAAAAATCCAGTACAGGCATGTCTTTAACTTCTGGAAAGTGCTGCCCGTTGAGTCACCACCGAGTTATCGGAACAGTTTAGGATGAACACACTTTGATTTGTAGCTGCTGCTACATTTTCTCACTGATAAGAACACCATGTTAACAGTACAATGTTTAAATACGTGTAAACATAGATGGTTACCCAAAAAGCTGTTTGAATACCAGGATTTTAGTGTACATATACATAAACATACTGAAAGTGCATATCCAGTGCAAGACAGCTTGTGAGCAACAGAGAAAAACTTACTGTAGGAGGAGATATCAATCTCCTCTGGTAGCTCTGCCACGTTGACCTCGAAGCGGTCTTGGACATCATTCAGGGTCTTAGCATCGGCCTCATCTGACACAAAGGTGACAGCCAGGCCTTTGGTCCCGAACCTGCCAGCACGGGCCACCTGAGGCACAGAAAGAAGTTAGGGCTAGAAGTGGGCTCTGCTCAAAGGACCAATTTCTATAAACAAGAAAGAGGGCTTATACGACAATCATTAACAACTTTGTGAATTATTTCTGAGTCTACTATTAACTTCCAAACATTAATTTCAAATCCCTGTTACTAAAAAAAAAAAAAACATTGACCTCTACAGTATAGCAGGTTTCTGCACCCTTTTTACATTTAGAAACAAATCAGGAATGTTTTAGTACCAGCAACAAGCCCTATATTTGTTTGTTTTGCAAATGAAAAAACAAATATCAGATATAGATAAAGTTATATTATAGCTGGACTGACTCTGTGAAGGTATGTGTCAGAATCCTCTGGCATGTCGTAGTTGAAGACGATGTTGACTCGCTCAATGTCCATCCCTCGGCCAAACAGGTTGGTCGCAACCAGGATTCGCCGCTGGAAGTCTTTAAACTGCTGGTAGCGGGATAACCTGGAGGGGAGGAATGAGCAACAACAGGAATTTATTACATTTATTCCAAAGTGATGGAGATATTTTCCACACCAATCCTCAGCAGTTAATTGAGACTTAATGCTTACATTTTAATGCTAACATTTAAAGTAGTGACTAGTTGTTTTCCACATTTATTCATGCTCAAGATACTGACATTAGGAAAGCTACTGTCGAGTTTAAAGTGTGAACAAAAAGACAAGAATCAGTAATAAACCAGCAGCACCCACCGTTCTTCCTGCGCCATGCCTCTGTGGATTGCGATGGCAGGGAAATTCTGCTCCACCAGCAGCTGGGACAGAGCCACACAGCGATGTACTGACTTAACGAAGATCACCACCTAACAGGAAGCAAAAGAAAAGGATTGCATATTTTTTGCTGGGAATGACATCAATAAGATACAGACAGGCTGAAATCAACATAAATATATTCCTCTAGAGGAGACAAAGCTTTTAAATTAATTAGTATAAGAACAAGGCTGCAGATGTACATTTCTTAAAATTAAGCCCCTTCACAAAGATTTTAAATAAAACAATAAATATGGACAAATCTCAGTATCTCATGAATGAGCTATACCTGGTTGAACTCAAGTACATCGAGCAGGTCAAAGAGCTTTCGGTTCTTCTCACTGTCCTTCAACTTGCAGTAATACTGCTGTAAGCCATGGAGGGTCAGCTTGGTCTCGTCATCCACAAACACTTCCATGGGCTACACAGCAAGAGAGGAGCCAAACATTAGTCACACACACACACACACCAGAAAGGTCATAATGAGACACCAAGACGTGTTACATACTCCATACATGACTAATTAACTGTGCACGGTGGCTCACTGAACCTGTTCTCCTGTATTGCAGTAGAGCCAGGAGGACTGACTGTCCTCGTCAAGCCAAATCTGCCGAGGAGGATCACTTTGCCCCTCAGATATGGCCACTCATGACACGGACAGTCACAAGTGGGCAAAGCTAAGAGGGACTTTGCAGCAAGCGCTGACCTACCTGAACTAGCTGACTTGTTACACATTACAACACCGAGAATCTTAACTGCAATTACGGAAAGGACATTGAATAAAGGTTCTCACTGGCCCCAGCACATACTGAAATGTCAACTTATGCAAAATGGCTAGAATATTTTCTTTTAGGATAGCTGAGCTACTGTGGAATTATCCACATATTTTAACATGTCTTTGACCAATCAGATGAATCAATGTCCATGTTGTAGAAAGACTAACATGGTCTATACCCATTTCTTCCCATGAAAACAGATCTATGTGGCCTTGTCACAGAGATGCATCAATTCTCATTAGCACAAATATGACTTATATAATCACATACACGATTAAGACTATCTCAGCTGCACGTCTTTAATCTCTGCTAAAAAACAAAAGATGTACAACATGTTCAATATGAAACATCAGTAAATCTTGGTAACTCACATCCTGCATGAACTTGCGGCAGACGGGGCGGATCTCCTTGCTTAGGGTTGCACTGAACATCATAACCTGTTTCTCATGGGGTGTCAGCCTGAAGATTTCCTGGACATCACGCCTCATGTCTGTCAGAAAAAAAAGACAACACAATAGTACTCCCAGAGTTATATTTACTGTTTATTCTTTGTTACATACAAACAAAATTTGAAACTTAACTCTAGATGTACAAAATTGCAGATAGCTCCATTCACAACAACCTATTTTCACACACTTCTATAAGTGGGATACAGAACAATACCTATATAAACTGGAAGTCTCTCCTGTCTCACTGACCACAGTGCTTCATCACAGCTACTTGTTTCTGTCTACTACAAAACACTTGTGTTTCTCTTACTCACCCAGCTGCTCCAGCATCTTATCGCACTCGTCAAGCACAAAGTGTTTAATGTTCTTCAGGCTGAGGGTCTTGTTGTGGATGAGGGCCAGGGTACGTCCTGGAGTCCCCACGACGATGTGAGGGCAGTTCTTCTTCAGGACTTCCTCGTCCTTTTTGATGGTCATGCCACCGAAAAACACTGACACCTTGACAGTGGGCATGTACTTGGAGAAGCGCTCGTACTCTTTGCTGATCTGGAAGGCCAGCTCTCGTGTGTGGCACATTACAAGGACAGACACCTGGCATACAGGGAAAGAGGACAATCTTATTAAATGCTTAATCCTCGTGTAGTCCGTTGTGTGTCTTTGTACTGCCAGCTAACGTGTTTTACTTCTCCTTGATTTTTTTTCTTCTTTATAGGACACCCTGGACTTTTAACTATTGTTTCAGTGCAGTTTAAAAATGTTAATGTTATTTCAATAATAATCATAATATCATACAGGTCCTTCAAAATAGCCCAATGATACGTTAAAACAGATCTCGGGTGCATCTTGATGACCTAGGGATTTTGGTGCCCACCATGAACAACAACGTTGCTGGTTTGCGTGAGCCGGGAATCTTTGATGCATGTCGTACCTATCTGACTCTCTCTCAACATTTCCTGTCATCTCCTGTTATCTCTCTACTGTGGGTCACCAAAACAAACTTTACTGGCTGATGCTGAGGGCTGTTATTTTATTGTTTTTTGTGGTCATAGTTCTGACATGGTCCACTCGTGATCCTGGAAGAGTGACATTACTTCTGCAAATCATACTAAAAGGTCACTTCTTCTTGGAGGCACTTGTCCTCTGTAATTGTAGACAGACCTGTCAGGACTGTTTTTTTTCCATACACCGAAGCAGACAGAAAGCAAAGAATGAAGCTGCTGTTGTTGAACCACGTAAACAGGACGTTCCTTTATAGGCCATGTCTTCTCTCAGAAACAAGTACTTTGAAGACTAGAGGTTCTTTTTGACGACATTTAAAAGTTTGTGAGATTTTATGTAAGGATGTCACCACGTCTGCCTTATTTTAAGTCAGTCTTATTTTGAGAAAAGAAAAAACCTGATAGGCATTTCTTAAAATTATTCAATGGACATGCAAGAGGCCTCAGGTCTAAGAACTTCAAACCAATTGGCCAACTACCAACATCTGACAGCTATAAAAAAAAACAAAAACAACGCAGAGGTCATCAAATTTACATAACAGAATTGTTAAGTTGTAAATACCACCTACTCCACGTTCAAAACGAGGTATGATTAATCTTTAGGCCGAAAAATTAATAAATAAGTGACCAACTCACCTGACCATCCACAGGCTCTATCTGCTGCAGGGTCGCCAGTACAAACACAGCTGTCTTTCCCATACCAGACTTGGCCTGACACAGGATGTCCATGCCCAGGATAGCTTGGGGAATACACTCATGTTGGACTGAAAATAAAACAAAAAAGGCAAGCATAAGTGAGTCACCTCTTCATGAATTTAATGATGTCAGAGTATGATAACAACCGTGGAGACAGTACGAGTTTGTG